CACATTGTAGGCACTCAATTCATATTTTTGAATCATTAAATGAATGAATGAAAATGACCACCAGTTCACAAGAAAGAACTTTCTCATTAGGACTGTGAAATGATGGAATAAGGAACATTCAAGCAAAGTTGTCGATTCTAAGAGCTTTAGAGAAGGGACTGATCATCCATACTTGATATTGATCCATTCTTAGTTCGTATTTATGGACCATGTCCGACAGGCCAGGGCCTCAAGCTGACCTAGGGACATAGGAATTAAACACACAGTCCCACCCCTGGGGGCTTCCAGACCAGGGGAAGCAGACTCAGGATACAACGATAAACTGCTCAGGAGGTGCTGTCTGCAGAAGGCTGGTGCACAAGAGAAAGGGTGACCCAGTGGGCCAGGTGAGTGGACAAGGAGTCTCTTTACAAGGAGGCTTGCCAGGCTGGTGGGAAAGGCACTCTGCATAGCGGGAACAGCATATACAAAGGCACAGAGGTGTGTCCTGGAACTTCTGGGCAATTCAGTACTTGTCCAACAAGCCCAAGCTTCTAAAATTGGGTAGAGTGGGCCTGTGCCCCCAGGAATGTGACATGCTATGCCAAAGGGCATGAAAAGCCACAGTATAAACATAGCATCTCTTCTTAGATGTCAATCTAAGAAAGTGAATTAAACAATATTTTTACACAACAACAAAGAGATGATGGAATAGAAGGGAAATTAACATGAAGTTTGAAGACAAACCAGGAACCATCAAACACATGTCCTGCTGTGGGGGTCTCTATGAGTGACAACTCCAGGCACCCTACAAATGGAGAGATCTGGGAGAGATGCTAAGTCCTGATCAGGACCCAGGGCCTAAGCAGTGTCTACGGGTCAGCAGGGCAGAGGCAGGCAGCAGCGTCCTACCTCTCCCATGAGTTCTCACTCACCTGAAAGATTCGAGGGTCCCCAGGCGGGGGGCTGCCAGAGGGTGAGTAGACAGGCTCCAGCCGAGTAAATTCCTCTGCAAAGTTGCCCACATCCAGCTCTGAGCGGATCTGGGGCCGGAATGGGGCTGGAATCTTCCTGGCAGCCAGAGCAGACCAATCCAGACCCTGGGGAAAAGGAATCAGATTAGGAGTCAAAGGGCAAGAATTGGAAACCCCACTCCACTGAGGCCACCCTCACTGGGCAACACCTCAATGAGGCAAGGGCTTATCTGGGTTTTGGGGTGAGCAGCTATTCTCCCTGGCTCCCCAGCTTCCTTGCTTTCCCTGTGGTAACAAAAGCCCTATTCCCCTTGTAGAACCACCGCTTCACCACTCTTAGTCAGTTATGGAACTTTTAATAGAATTGGCATGAAAACAAATAAATCTCTTTCTCCTGCCGGACTTAAACCTGTTAGGG